TGTATGGTGTGTGTGTCTGTGGTGTGTGTATGGCATATGCACAGCATGCATGTGGCAGTCAGAACAGCTTTCAGGGAGAGTCTGTTCTCTCCTTGCTCGTGTAGGTCTCACAGTTGAACTCAGTTCATCAGCCTTAGACGACGAGCTAAGTGGGCAAGCACCTTTACCCACTGAGCTATTTCCCGTCCACTTTTCGCCACTTTGCAGGCATGAACACTTAGACCTGCTGACTTCTGGCTGCTGTCACTCACCCATTAGCCGCCCCTCCACACTAATGGAGAACCCTACACAGACGGGAATGATTTTGCCAACAGAAACTCTAGGCTACATCTCACAGCCATGGAGGAAAATGCTGCCTAAAACCCTACCCTCTTTAAAAGGGTCTTGATCAGGATATGGAGGGCAGGGAGAGGGAAATAAAGAACATGAATAGCATGTGCCCTATGTGTGTGGGTGAGCATGTCACAGTGAAACCGTTATGTGTACATATATGCATACACTGATTTTAAAACTAAACTCCCAGGCCAAGCGAGGTGGTGTATGCCTTTAGTCTCAGTGCTCAGGAAGCAGAGGTAGGAGAGAAAAGTCTCTAAGTGTAAGGCCAGCCTGAGCTACACAGTGAGACCCTGTCTCAAAAGCAAAAATTAATTAGTTAATTTACTGAAGTAAAATAAAATTAAACTTTCATTTTCATCTTGAAGCACAATTTGCCCAATATTCATACCATAAGAAGGACATTTTATTAAGAGATTTATGTGTGTGGCCAGGCATGGTGGTGCACACCTGTAATCCCAGCACTCAGGGAGGCAGGCAGAGCTCTGTGAGTTTGAGGCCAGTGTGAGCTACAAAGTGACTTCAGGACAGCCAGGGCTACACAGAGAAGTCATGTCTCGAACAACCTCCCCCCCCAAAAAAAAGATTTCTATCTGATTTGTACAAGACCTTAACAGACATGTGTATATTTTGCTATCAAAGTGTGTGTGGTAGTCACACAGTCAGTTTTTCCTCCTTGGAATAATAAGTTGTGTAAGGATGAGCTGTTGACATGAGTAGGTCCTTCATGTGAGGCCACAGTGGGTTGTTACTTGCAGAAAGACCAGGCGGAGCAAAGAGTCAAACTGCCCACACCAGAGGCCTCCAGCCGGATTATCAAAATAGCCAGTTAGAAACCTTAACGACTTGGAAAAAGCACACACAGAAACGACAAAGTGTTTCCCGACAGTTCTAGGAGGAAACAGGGCTGTTGATGTGGCTTAGTGAGAAGGTGCTTGGCACCGACCTTCCACCTGAGTGCCCACCCTAGGACCCACGTGGTGGAAGAAGAGAAATGAGTCCCTGGAGGAGTCCTCAGCTCCCTCCACACGTGTGTGGAACGCGCACACCCACATGCATTAAATAAATACAAATGTACTCTTAAACAAGTTAAAGTGTAAGGAGTGTGGGGGGGGAAGACTCAAGCATATGCTGAAAGGTAGAAAGGAAGCTGGGGCACGCTGTGTGACTGAAAGAGTCCAGTCACACTCCTCAAAGGCCCAGTGAGACCGATCAGTAGCCTAAATCATGAGAAACGCAGAACGATCTACTTAGAAAGCTGATGAGGAAGGGCTCGGGTTACATGATGCGCGGAATGATGATGTCATCAACGACTACAAGGTCAAGGTTTGTGAAGGTGCCCCCTCAGGTCTCACCTTTGAAGTAGACCTCATTCCTGCTGACATGTGTCCTCTTCCGCAGGTGGGCTCGGTGGTGGCCGTGGGCTGGATCCGCTCCCGCAAAGCTGTGGACTGGCACCTCTTCCGGAACATATTCGTGGCCTGGTTCGTGACCGTCCCCGTGGCTGGCTTATTCAGTGCTGCTATCATGGCTCTCCTCGTGTATGGAATCCTTCCATACGTGTGATTTTGTTTCCTCCAGTCGGCAAATGGCCATAGGGATAGTCTAGCGTGGGTATGCGCATTCACACGTCCCGACCCTACTCCCTTTGGCACACACACGCCCCTCCCACATACCTTCCAGATGGCGTCGTGCCATACACTGCTTACCCTGGCTGCAGACGCCCGTCCCCCAGAGCTACCCTAACTACTGTCCATAGCAGCATCCATCAGCCTGACGGCGTGAGGGCACACTGTGGTGCGGTTACTCACAGGAGATACACACTGTGTACCTTGCATAGGCAGCATCTGTTGCAAACAGACTCAGAGAGCGCACAGGATTGCCCAGGACGCAATATTCTGTTAACTGTATATAATGGCTTCAGTGCTGGCGAGTGGAGATTTGAAAGTCCTTTTTTAAACACACTGTAATATAAGTGATGCAGTATACTTAATGCAAACCTGGGCAAGTTCTCAGGCCCGCGCGTGATTGCATAATGCTGGGATAGGTGTTCGCACGTGCTTTCTCTGAGTGTGTTCATGAGCTGTGTATGAGTTACTGTGTAATGTACCACAACTGCTTTTTGTAAATACTGAAACTGTAATTTTAATGGTATGCTTCCCTGACACTTTTTTGATTGGAGAATTTTGGATAGTACCAAAGAAATAGGGATAACTTGCCAGTATTCTATCTTCATGTTGTTTGTTTCCCTTCCCACCGGCCACCGCGGTGAAGCTGGTGCTCCACCCAGGCTAGTTGGCAGCTCAGCCCGAGCGTGTGTGGTTGGAAACACCAGCCACCTACCAGCAAGAGCCACACCGCAGCCACACCAGATCCTGGGGTAGGTTCATTCAGTGGCTTTCACGGTCACCAGCGTGGGTAACATACAGCAATGGGGGTGTATATTTAAACACTACATACATATCAAGTCCAGTTCCAGTGTTCCTCCCTGTTCTGTCTGCCCTGTGGCCTGAAAAGCAGAATTCATGTCACAAACATTTTGATGGACTTGGATGCTGCAAAACTCAGGGCTGAGTGGGAGGTATTGGGAAGGACGCTGGGCTTGGGGATCTTTGAGGCCTTTACTATGTAGAACATGCGTGGTTCTCCTGTAGAGCGGTTCTTTTCTGCACAGGAGAGTCAGTATGACTAAAATGTTAAGAGCCTGAAACCATGGAAATGCTGCTAATATTTTTATATTGACATACATTTTCACGGTACTTCATTGTAATTTTTTCATTAATCAACCATATTAAATTTATAATAAAAAAGTACCCCTCAAAAGTTTACTTCTGAAGTCTTTTTCTTTCAGAGTTTCCACAAAAATAAGAACTATACAATTTGACCATTTGTAGTTTTCAAATGCTTTCTGTTGACCTTTCCCCTACATCTTCCTATTCTTCTGTGTCTGTGCAGAACCAACACACAAAACCAGCAAAGGAAAGAATGCTGGCACACCCGTCTCGGACAGTGGTAAGGAGAAGGCCACATCCCTGTGCAGAGCTTACCTGCTTGGAGGCTCATTCTGCAGGCACTCCCTGGGAACCTGCTCTCTTCTCAGGCTGAAGCTGAGTGAAGCCCCACTTGTTCTGCTCGGTGGCAGCAGCGGCACCTAAGTGCGGGAGGGGTGAGAGACGAGAAGCACCAGCCAGGTGTGCCGCTTTCATTGTCCGCTGCCAAACCTGAAGCCCTCTCCTTTTAAAATGGCACCTTGCTTTCTGCCTTTGATGAGGTCTCAGGAAACTCAGTCTTCTCTCAGATTTGTCGGTCAGAAAGCAACAGCCCATGTGGAAGCAAGCACTGTCCAGGCCAGCCAGCCTGTGGTCCTGCCCCAGAAGGGCCATGTCAGCATCCTCACTCAGCCCTAGCAGGCAAACCACAGCCACTGAGTCGAAGTAGGTGAAGAGGAAGGGCAGGGGGGCGGGCCAGAAGCCTCACCCAGGAACTCTGCCCCAGGTCTGTTATCTGGTATCTGCTTTGTATGCCACCCCAGGAGAGGAGAGAAAAGCCCACTCCAACAGACTCCAACCTTCAGCCTTTGTCCAAGGAGAGGTTCCTGTGTGTAATGAGGGACAGTCTGGCCACACATAGTTTGGGGAAGTGCTCTCCCCCTGGAGAAAGTGTTGCCGTGTCCCCAAGCAAAGAAATGCTGAGTCTCCCAGACAAAGGAACTCCTAAGTCCCTGACAACTTTGTGTGTGGTCAAACTTCCCATGCAAAGGAACGCTGCCGGGAGATAAGAAAGCCATACTCAGGGGAAGAGCACCAGGCTCATACTTCTTTTTCTTACCTTCCTGAGAGCCCGCACTTGGAAGGATCCAAACCAGGGCTTCTCAAGACTTTGAGTGGCAACTCAAAGGGTCAAACAACCCTTTCACAGGGGTTGCCCAAGACTACGGGAAAACACATTATTTACATTATGATCCATAACAAAGTTACAGTTATGAAGCAGCAACAAAAATAACTTTATGGTCGGGGTCACCACAACATGAGGATCCGTATTAAAGAGCTGCAGCATTAGGAAGGCTGAGAACCACTGCTCTCAACACATTTATATTCATTCTCAACAGGTACTTTTTTTTTTTTTTCTAGGCAGGGTTTCTCAGTATAGCTTTGACTATCCTGGAACTCACTCTGTAGACCAGGCTGACCTCAAACTCACAAAAACACACCTGCCTCTACCTCCCAAGTGCCGGGATTAAAGGTGTGCACTGCCTCCACCACCTGGCTCAACAGGTAATTTTTTTTTTAAGATTTATTGTTTATATACCATACTGCCTGCACATGTGGCTGCAGGCCAGAAGAGGGCACCAGATCTCATTATAGATGGTTGTGAGCCACCGTGTGGTTGCTGGGAATTGAACTCAGGACCTTTAGAACAGCCAGTGCTCTTAACCTCTGAGCCACCTCTCCAGCCCGCAACAGGTCATTTTTAAGTAAGTCCTGCCCATCTCCTCTTCTTAACCTACAGAGTTCTCTGGCAACAGAAGACATAGTAAAATCCATCCCAGAAGCTGGGTGTGTGACTGCATACTGCACACTTGAAGCCAGCACTCAGGAAGCCAAGGCAGGCAGAGCTCTGTAGGTTGGGCCAGCACGAGGCCAGATGAGGGAACCACCACAACTGCCCTTCCTTAGGATTTAAAAAAGCGTGTGAAATATGGATGTGTCAGTGCTGTTAAGGGAAACCACTTGCTCCAGGTCAAAAGAAGAGAACTGAGTTCTACTTCAGATCTGCCCCTATTAGACCATCACACACCGTTGCCACCTCCTGCAAGAGTTGATCAAGTTGAGCCAGTCAGTCACCTGTCCAAGAGGACACCCTCAGGAAAGCTGACTTTCTGTAAGATTTCGGGGGGGGGGGGGGGTTGAAGGAAAATGGCCCCTATAGATGCATGGGAATGGCACTATTGAAAGGTATGGCCTTGTTGGAGTGGGTAGGCTTTGAGGTTTCAAAAGCTCATACTTGGCCCAGTGTCACTCTCTAGCTGCTCTTCCAGAGGTCCCAAGTTCAATTCCCAGCAACCACATAGTGGGGCACAACCATCTATAATGGGATCTGAGGCCCTCTTCTGGCGTGTAGGCACACATGCAGAACACTGTGTACATAATAAATAAATAAATAAATCGTAAACAAAAATTTAGCAAGAGCCAGGCAAGGTTAGCCTGGTCTATAACAGCAACCCCCAGGACGGTTAGCACTGCAGAGACCTTGTTTTGTTTTGTTTTGAAGTAGCCTGCTGTGACAGTGGCATGGTAGCACACGGGAGGCAGAGGGAGGCCAGCCAGGTCTACACAGACACCCCAAGCCAACCAAAGGTACACAGTGAGACTCTGTTTCAAAAAAATAAAAATAATTTAAACTCAGAAAGGTCAAGGTCTGCACAGAAGACCTGGGAATAAGGCTCTCCACATGTTTAAGAACATGGAAAGAAGTACAAGAAGAAAAGGAAGGTTCTTTAAGTCTCTTCAAAGGAAGCACTTGAGAGTAAGTCAGTGGTTCTCAACCTGTGAGGCATGGGGTCAAACAACCCTTTCACAGAAGTTACATATCAGATATCCTGAATATCTGATATTTACATTATGATTCATAACAGCAAAATTATAGTTCTGAAGTAGCAATGAGAATGATTTACGGTTGGGGGTCATTACCGCATGAGGCACTGTGTATAAGCCACAGCCTTGGGAAGGTGGAGAAGCACTAACGCTCTAAGTAATGTGTTTCCGACACAATCCAGAGGACCAAGAGTTCTTGTTGGGGACTAAACCTGCTTAAACAGCAAAAGGAGTTTTGTCTAATAGGATGGAGAATTTGTCTTTCCCTATTTTCCATGTCTTAACCAAACCCTAAACTCAGAAATTTCTAAGTACACAGAGTAGGAGAAGGGGTGAGGTCCAAGAAAATGGGTCAAATGAAGGCAGAGCTGGGACTAGGAAAGGTTATCTCTGTTGCACCACAGCGGCACCTAGCGGTGTCAAGTTTAATTGTAATTACAACATCTCTTGCAATCACTTTGCAAAATGCTAATTCTGTCACAGTTCAGAGTTGCACACAATAACAGGAATTGTGTCTTTGATGATCACAAGGGACTACAGTTGCTTTCAGAAACCCTCTTTACCAAGAAGCCAAACCAAATAAAGGCTGGTTTTGGTTTCCCTTTACCCTACCATCCAGGACTGTCAAGTGCAGAGTCATCAATGACTTGGCCACTGAAGGTTTCAGAAAAACAAGGGCCTTTGGGGACCAAGAAGCTTCAGAAAGAAAAATGCAAGGCTATTCTCATCCGAGCAGGAGCTCTGGGGAAAAGCTAACCAGTGGCTGGGTGAGATCAGCCAAGTTCACAAGGGCAGAAATCTGGCTCACATTCCGAGCACTATGTAGATGTGGAAGGCAAGGATTCAGTTTGGGAAACAGTAGCTCTAGGTGCACCAGGGCAGGAGAGACTGTTCTACCTGGGGTGACTCTCCTGGCTCTTCTTTCTGGACTACAGGACTCCAAGATGGTCAGTTATCACCGTAAGGTTTAAATGGGTCACGACACATTAAGTGGCCGGCAAGGCAGCAAGCGGTACACGAGCCTGTGTGCATCCTGTCTAAAACGTTGATGAAGCCACAACTCGATAAAGTCCCCGAATAAAGGCTGAATCTAAACTTCCCACAGCCGTATCTGGATTACCTTATGAATACATAAAATGTGGCTCCCTGGCTCTGCAGGTCAGTAATTTAAAGGAAACAACATAAAGGAAAATTACAAATACGTAGAGACTGCCTTCTTGACTAACTGAGATGAACACAACCAACTTCGACAGATAAAAGATCTAAGAAATAACCAGGGGTCCAGCTCATTAGCTCTTCCTGCAAGGCTGAATGCTGTTTCAGCCCTGTCATTTCCCTTACACTCTGATCTACACTAGTCGGAAGAATTACCTTGCGAAGTAACCTGAAGACGCACTGGGACAATCTCACTCCACCCACACATCCCATCCACTCGCGCCACGCATGCTGCACGTGGACTCTCTGATACAGGATTAGCTACTGGCATCAGCTGTTCAGAGTGTGCTGTCTTTACTATTTCTCTCTTACAATGGTGGCTCAATTCACAAAGATAATATTCAAGAAAATAAAATTTTGTATGATTGCTATTGTAGGTATTTTCTAGGCTTAGTGGTCTGTTACTACCTTATTAGCCAAAACTTGGATAAAGACTGTTGTCTGGCAGCTTTAGGAGACTTTGTGAGTGGTAAATACTATCTTACATTGGAGTTTTTCAAAGAACAAATATGCCTAGTTATTTTAAGACAACCCAATTAGAACAGCAAGAAATATAATGGATTCTTTAGAATATAAATGACCAGTAAATGTGAAAACAGCCCTTCTCACTGGTCTCTGGGGAAGCATAAATCAAAAGAAGATACAAGCTTTCACCTACTAAACAGTTAAACATTTGAAAGTATGGCAACAGTGTTAATATGTATGTGAGGGAATGGACAAGCATCAGATAGAAATATAAATTGATACCAAACATATGAAGGGCAAATTTGTGCTACCTATCAAATACCTGTGCCCTGCAACGCATGTCACTCCTAGAAATCTTATAGAATATGCTGTTCAACTCAACAGCCACTGCTACCTGTGGCTGTTGATTAAAATTTAAATTTAATTAAACAAATTAAATTTCAAATTCAGTTGCTTAGGTGTCCTTATACTAAAGATGCCATATATAGCTACTATAGACATCAAACACACATGGGGGTGGGGTTTGAGTAAGAATGGCCCTCATAGGCTCATGTTTGAAAAAGTGGTCCCCAGCTTCTCAGACTGTGTGGGGAGGATTAGGAGGGGTCAGTGGGGGTGGGCTTTGAGAGTTCAAATTGCCAGTATGTCTCTCTGCTTCCTACTTGCGAGATGTGCTCTCAGCTGCCACCATGCCTTTGCTCAAACACCATCCTGACCCTTTAAAACATAAGCTTTCTTTTATGAGTTGCCTTCCTCAGTGTTTTGCCACAGCAATAGAAAAGAAATTACAACAGTAAATAAAATTTTGAAGTTAATTTTTAAAAAGAAAAAATCATCATAAAAAATCAAGTGCACTCAGAAGGAGAGAAGTCTTTAAGTTTGTATGAATGGAGCTGTGAGAGCTCCAGGAGGCCAACAGCTGCAGGAATATACAGCAAACTGCTTGCAGTACTCAAGGAGGAAGGTGGTGAAGCATGGGGGTTTCTACTTTCAATCTAACTGAAAGCTGTCTACAGCTGCTGTAACTGGCACATATTACTTCCATATTAAAAGAAAGGGGTTCTGCTCACAGAAAGAGGATGTCCATAAGCCCTACGAGTATTACGTCTGCCTATATCTTTTCTACACTGTAACTTCTTCTTCAGTTGTATTATTACACCTGGTACTCAAAAAAACAAAAAACAAAACAAAAAAAAAAAAAAACCCCCCCCCCAAGGCCTGGAAGAGTCAGAACTACACCCCCCCCCGGCAGTCTTCCCTTCCCTACCTCTCCTCTCTCCACACTGTGCCCTCAGCAGCTTCAAGACACTTTGACATGATACAACAGGAAGCTAGTTCCTCAACAGCTGTCCTTCTCCACTGCAGAACAAAAAACTACCACCTCATCCTTCAGGGGCAGAGTGAGAACTGGAGTTGGAGTGAGCGGTGAAAGCACGCATGTTTTAGACACACAACTTTAGACGTGATCAAGCGCTACTAATAAATCAGATGAACAATTATGCTCCAAATGTGATGGGTTTATTTTACTCTGATGCAAAACCAAAGATTTCACTACAGCAGAGACTGCTACAACAAAAGGTCGTGGAAAAGTGGAGTGGGACATGCAGGACACGATGTACAAACCGGGAGTCAGATCACTTCCTTCAACAGGACACTATGTTGTTGCTGAGGAACACATTTAAATTAACTCTGCAGAACTCAACTGAAATGTGGCACAAACATGAAAATTTCCAGGCATGCCTTCAAGGACCTCCCATAGGATGGATTTGTAATCTCTAGACTTCAGTGTAGGAAGGATTACAATTCTTTGGAAGAATATAAAGTTCACACTTTTGAAATTTCACAGAATTTTAAGGCCAAAACATAGTGGGTTTATTTCTCTTCATTTCCAGGGACAAATGATGCGCTACTCAAATCACATTAAGCTTCCAGTTCAAATCCCAATCCCACCTTGTGACCTCCTGCATTGAAGTTCTTTCCATCTATTAAAGCTGACAGAGTCAATTTGACTCCTAGAGAGAAAAAAACAAAAACAAACAAACAAACAAAAAAACATAATTACTTGTGGCCAGTATCACACCAAGACCTAAGTTTGCTAGAAATAACAGATCTAAGTCAATGGCACTGAGTCCAGGTAGGCATAGGCTGTACTGCACAGACACAGCTGTCTGGTCTGCTGTGTGTGAGGATGAGGAACTACTTGGAGTTCCACATTAAGAAAACTGAGGGACAAGCCAAATGTAACCCACAGGGACTATTTAAGCGGGTCCACAGACTGACTATTCTCACTGTCTTTCTGTCCTGACCACCCACTAATTCTTTTTACATACCTGCTCGGAGGGTCTGTGTATAACCGAGTCCAATTAAACTGGCATTGTTTACTTTGGCCTAAGATTAAGAGATGAAAATAGAAGCAGTTAGAAAAGAACTCTACAACATGTCAGCACAATGCAACTACTTCCTGCACAATGTCTCTAAAGCACACTGAGGGTAATCTACAATTGCTAAAAATGGAAAAAAAAAAAAGCCAACTCTTTTAAGAAGTCAACAGGACTGGTAGGAATTGTGGGTAATGAGATGTATTCTTTAAAGTTCTTCAATAGATTTTCAAGCACACTGAATTACCAAGCATCCCTAGGTACTGAATTTCTTTGTTGTTATTTTGAGACACTCATTACACAGCCAGGACTATCCTAGAAGCCAATATATAGAAGAGGCTGACTCTGAAATCAGAGGTCTGCTAGCCTCCCAAGGCCTGGGATTAAAGGTGTGCAGCAGCACCACACCCGGCCTGTACTGAATTCTTTGAAATACCAGTTTACAACCTGACAGTGATTCAACATGTACTCAGGTGTCATAAAACCATATCTGGATTCACATTTTAACACAGCTGCTTACTGTGACCCTCACCTAGTTTCTGGGTTGACTGCAAAATGGATGAGGATATCAATTTTCACCACACAGAACAGTTATGAGAATTACACGGGATAAGATCTGTAAAGCCTTACACATAAGAGCTCAATTTCTGTTAGTATTAATGAAAATAAGTAACAGTAGTAAGAATAGTAATCTACTCCCATGAATTTAAAAGTAAAGAATATAACAAGGCCAAGATCAGCAATAGCCAACAGGGGAGAAATTAGGACGAGAACCCACATTCTTGCCTTAGACATAACAACCTTTCCACTAAATGAGTGGTCATGAAGCTAATAAAGAACATGCAAATTATCAGGGGACTACAGCACTCATTTACAGCTGGGATGCACATTCTTACAGACAGAGAAGTTCTACAATCCAGCTTATATTTAGCAGCGATGCCAAAGCGAGTGTTGTTGCTGCCAGCTGTCCATGCCAGGTTTATTGATGTCTCAACCTTCTCATTAACTTTCTGGTAGATAGAGCCTCCAAACTCAGTACCGTCATTCCTGTTTTCACGGTGGAAAAAATAAAGTTTGAATTATTTACTGTTAAGACAGGGAAAAATTCTTCAGCTATCTGAACACAGATTCTATTATGCATATTTCTAGTACAAATGATTATCAAACAAGAAATTAAACCAACCTATGAAATATCTAAAAGCATGATTAAAGCAGCACCTGATTCATTTACTTGACTCTTATACACAATATAGATTTCTGAAGACACAAATCAACTATGCTCAAAGACAGACACCTCAGGTAAAGGTAATCAATCTATAGGTATGTTTCAGAGAATTTAGAAAGTATAACCTAAAAGTCTCTTTTTCATAGGATCTAGGCCCTCTCTTTGAGGAGGTAAAAATATAGGAATAAAGACAACACTAGCTTTTACTTACTATACAGCCAGAGCGAGAAAACACTTTCGATAAAATCCTCAGGAGACACTGTTCCAGACACAAACCATGGCTCTTTGAAGTATACCATGGTTTTCCAACAACAGCGTTTTAAGACCATTGTCGGTCTCCTAGTAAAGTGTTGTAGTACCACTGTCTATATCAGATTGCCTAGTGAAGAGCAATACCTCTGAAACTCACAGCTCATTCCTGCCTATCATCCCAGCAACTGGAAGGTACAGGCAAGAGGACGAGAAGTTTAAGAACAGCCCAGGCTACATAGTAATTCCGAGGTCAGCCTGATCTATATGAGATCTTAAAACACCAAAAACTAAACATAAGTAAAAGTTGAGGCTGTTTCAGCCAACACTGAAATCCAGGATTACTTTGAAATCCCCACTGTAGTAAGAATTCTGGAATTTTGGTTTCTTTAAAAACACAAAAAATATTATAAGACTATGTTTTCATTTTAATCCCAGATGTGGGGATATGGAACTGCTTCAGATTGTCCACAGCAGCTGACTGATTTGCCTCATGCTCTAGCAGAGGAGTGGTTGGCCCGCTACAGATGGTTTCTATGGCTGTGTGACCTTTGGAATTCTGGAAACTTTACAGAAGGTATATAAATGCTAAAACCCTGATTGGGGGGGGGGGGGAGTTGCTGGTTGTTCAGGAGAGTTGGTTGCAGTTTGTTAGAAACAAGAGGAAAGAAATTATAGACTCAGAGATCTCTACCTCTTTCTCTCTGTCTGACCTCTACCCTTCTTTCTCTCCTATCTAGTAATGGGGTAAAACAGGGAGCATACGGTTGGGAAAAAGCGGAACCCCCACACTCAGTAAAGCCAGATACATCCTGTTATCTCTAAAAGCAATAGAAGCAGTAACTAGGTTCTGACCGAGACACATGAAAATCTCCACGCAGAATCACCAGACAAGTTCCAGGACACGCAAACAATTTGGTGATTATTCTTAGTGTTCCACACATCTGCTTCCAGATACAGTCAAAATAAGCAGAAAGTAACAGTACTGTGGGTTTTCTCTACTCAGTGGTTCTTTTACAGATGCTAAAATATCCCAAAGTCTGGCGTCAAAGGTGACACCAGTAACAAACAGCAGCATAGCCTAATATACTCAGTATGTGAACTTCCAGAATGCACTGCTGACTATGAAAATATACAGCAAAGCTGGGTGGTAGTGGCACACACCTTTGATCCCAACACTCTGGGAGGCAGAAGCAGGCAGAGCTCTGTGAGTTCGAGGCCAGCCTGGTCTACAAAGCCAGTCCAGGACTGCCAAGGCTACACAGAGAAACCCTGTCTCAAACAAAACAAAAATGTTATAGATAGATAAGATAGATAGACAGACAGACAGCAGGACTGGTATCCAGCAGTTACCAGCACTTTCAACTGTTTACCATCCTATCAACAGCCTTTCCCGGGAATTGTACGAGCACTGCAATCGGAATAGATTGTGACACTCACACATGGGTATGCAGCTGGAAGTCTGCAGCCTTGTAGCCAAGGGCAAAGTTGTTCTGGGACAGTTTGGACTTGGCCGTGTCAAAGCTCATCTGATATCCGGCCAGCCAGCCTTCAAAGGCCAGCACAGCCCAGCCATAGATGGTAGGGCCAGAGAAATCTATGTCCACGCTACTGCCCAGGCTGAAGCAATCCCGTTTATAGGACGCCTTTAACTTCCCGCTCTTCTTTCTGTAAAACAAATGGTACAATGAAATGATGTGAGTCTACTCTCTCCACTAATGTACAAAGACCCTCTCCAAAGGGAAAATGGCTACAGACAACTCAGCTCTCTACAAATACAACTGTTAGGATTAAACTCTATGTTAATGGTTAATGTTATGGGGGCACATGCCTTTAATCCTGGCACTGGGGAGATAGAGGCAGGTGGATGGATCTCTGTGAGTTCCAGGAGAGCCAGGGCTACACAGAAAAACTCTGTTCAAAACACAAACAAACAAACAAAACAAAAAAAAGAAATGCATGTCATTTGATATAAAGTATTTTACTATAAATTTCATAAAGACATAAATCAACAGATACACTTGATAAATTATTTTGATGTTCTGTTGCACAGTAGTTATTACACATAAAGTATTATACATTCCAAAACCTGCAAGTTTTAAATTTGCTTCAACTCAAAAAAATAAAAGTTTAAGACAAATACACTTACCCTATTTGATTACAATGTATACAGACATTCAAATACTACATATTACCCCACAGATATATACAATTTTGTCAAAAAATGCAAAATCTTTGATATGTCAGTACCAATTAATAATCTGAAGATATGTATGTGTATATATATTATACACACATACACATATATACACATGAGAAATAAACTATCTTCAAATATTTTCAAGTGCTACAAAAGTACATCAAAACAAAGTAACCTATTAGTAGGAATACACATTTTCCTGTTTGTTTTAGCTGGCCTGGAACCCGAGATCAGTCTGCCTGTCTCCAGAATGCTGGGACTAGAGGCATACACCAACACATCTGGATGAAATATACTTTTAATAGCAATGCTGAATATTCAGAATTAGTTCTGCAGACAAGTCTTGGAGAACACTTGTTCTAAACATAACTAAAGCATGTGCCAGGAAGGACAGACCCAGGGTTACACCGAGAGGACTTGCCAGGCCCAGAAAGTGTGATGGCAGCACCACCACCCTGGCCCCTTACAATCAGTAGATCACAGTCTTGCCACACCCACCAGTCTTTAGAATAGATATAAACTATGGTCTCAGATCCTTCACTTCCTAAGCTAGAGAGATATGCCTCTGTTTAATTTTATGTTGCCTTGAGGATCTCTTCCTTTAAACACACACACACATTCTAGCATTGCTAAAACAACCTCCAAGTTTCTCCCTGTCCCTACAGAAAAAAATGGGTTTGGATAATTACCCTGTGTTTGGTACAAATATGGTATCAAGAGTCAGTTTCAACCCGTCAGCCAACTGTAAAACAAAAAATTTTCAATTAACAATTTTCAATTCTTTAACTCAAAAAGCCAGTTCTAAAGCTTCCTCACACTTCCTTTTTAATAACAAAGTCATTAAAGAAAGCCAGACAGTAAGTTATATAATAAATTACCTCCCCCATCTTTTCTTTATTTCTAAGACAAGGTCTCTCTATGTAGCCTGGTTGTCCTGGAACTCCCATTATAGACCAGGCTGGCCTTGAACTCAGATCCACTTGCCTCCCACACAGCACATCCTACCCCCAGAGCTGGGATTACAGGCGCACACCAGCATTCCTCCTCTTCTGGCTGTTACTTCCCATATATTTTCATCTCCTTAATTGCCGTCCCCTCAAACATAGCCCCTAACCATGGCTCTCTCATCAAAATATAAATTAAACTGGTTATGGTGGCATGACCCTATAATCCAAACTACTCAAAAAGCTGAGGCACACAATCTTAAGCTCAAAAAGTTTGCAGCCAGCCTAAATGACATCTCAAAAATTTAAAAACATTAAAATGTACAGGCCAATCCTAATACATTAAATAACATAAATTACTGTGGAAAAACAATTATTCCACAGTAATAAAATAATCTTGTTCTCTTGAAATGACTAAAGATAACCTGACCCACCAACGTCTTTAGCTGTACCTCTTTGTATGTGCTAATACACACAGATGTACCTTGAAAACTCATGGTGGCACACCCTTGAAATTCCTGGACTTGGAAGGTATAGGCAGGAAAATTGGGAGTTAAAGGTCAACCTCAGCTACAAGCAAAGTTTAGAGCCAGCTGGGACTACAAGTTTGGATCCATTCTCCAAAAGAAAAATATAGTGCCCTGTACACAGTATGTGTCCGACAAAAAAAAAAAAAAAAAAAAAGCTGATTATTTTTCTCCCTGAAAACATTAAAAAATGTAGGCACATTTCTGTGTAGCTAATTTTGCAAAGATTCCAAAAGTAAACTAAATTACCGAAGAGTCTGTTCTACTCAGGAGAGGATCAACTGTGCAGCACAATTAACTAATCAAAACAAAGATGCAATGTCGTGTTCTAGAAATGTTAAAGACACACCGAGAAAATAAATAAAAAGGCTACACAAAGGAAATATGGTAGAAGACATTTTAGAATCCCACTCAGATTATATCTGGAGTTTATTCGATTTTTTGAAGATTTGTTTTTATTATTTTAATCATGTGTATTTGTATGTGCTTGTGTGTTGTGTAGGTGCTCATGGAGTGCAGAGGTATTAGATGCACTGGAGCTGAACTTCCCCGTGGTTGTGAGCCGGCTGACAGGAGGCGCTGACTTGGACCTCTGCAAGAGCAGTATGTGCTCTTAACAGCGCAGCGTCTCTCCAGCCCCAGTTATGCTCACTACTTGGTGTGACTCACTAACCTACAATAACTTCTAGTGCTTTTTCTTACCTTATTCTCCCACGAGATCTCTGTCCCAAGAGTATTGTCTGTATTCCATTTTTGGGTGAAGGTGAGCCCATAGTTACAGATCTTGTATTTGGTCTCTAGGTTGCCTGATGCTTTCCCTGTGTCAGTATAAGCATGACCTGAAGTAGAAAATTCCTGGTGAACAAGAAAAATTATTTTTAAATGATCTCACCAAACGGAAATCATTCATCAGAAAACAGTGTTCAATGCATCATAAACCAATACAACTTACTTTTTAAATAACCCTATGCTTCAACATACCTCCTGCTTTCTGTCTGTCTCTAACCAGGTTGAGAACTGTCCATGACTCCTCCCTTCTTATTGGCATTTATTATTCCAAATATTCTCTTTTTTATTGGGCACACTAAATTCTTAACTTTAAAAGAAAATGATCTCTGCTAGAAATAAATGCCTTTATTAAAAAGGCAAAAATACTGAATACTGAAGAATTTCACTTTCATGGCCTATTAATTCTCTATAATACTTGTCAGACAATACTTGTCAGATAATACTTGTCAGGTGATTAAAACCTATAAATACTACCTCCCACACTTTCTACTTAGTTTAGTACTTTGTGACTTGGGGTAAGGAAAATGTGCGGGTGGTAGTGTGGGGTGGAGCTGGGGATGAGGAGGGGGTGGGGTGTGCTGGGAATGGAACCCAAGGCCCTGTCCACAGCTGTCACTGAACTATATACTCAGCCTATTGCTGTATTTATTTTTATGTATATGTATGAGTGACTACTTGTCTGTATGGGCACTGTGTGCATAAATGGTGCCCTAAGACCACACAGGGATGGGATCCACTGGAGCTAGAGTTACAGACAGTTGTGAACTGCACGAGGGTGCTGGAAACGAAAGCTGGGTCCTCTGCGAGTACAGCAAGTACTTTTAACTCCAGCCCCAACTGCTGTTTTTTTAAAGATGTATTTTTATGGGCTTGTGAAGTAGCTTAATAGTAAAGTGTTTGCCTAGTGTGCTCAAGGCTCTGGGTTCCATCCCAGTACTACAAAAGAAAAAAACATTGTGATAAAATACATTTACGTGTGATCATTTTCACGCTTATGTTAGACATAGTGTTAAAGTACATTTACAGTGTTGTAAAATATGAATGCTTCAGCCACGAAGCTGTTTGTAAAACTTTTACCATAAACATTTTCAAGCAAAATCAGAATTAATCAGAATTATCTACCCATTTTGACAATAAAACAAAACTTAAAAGGCCCTCTTTCCTTCTCCATCTGGCTTACCCTCTAAAGTACAATCACCATGACTGTCATTATGTGTATCTTCCTGTAGTGTCCTTTCCATCACATGACAATAAACAGTTAGGAAAAGACCTTCTTCTAGGGGAAGCAAACAGTCACTACCTGTCACTGACAATCTCTGACTGTCAAGAAACTTTCTGCCTGACCCTGCTCTCAGGAGCATTTCTGAAATCTGGCCAGCAGCAATGAATAGTTACCTTCTGAAGTAGTTCTGTTTCACTCTTTGCAACATGAAACCTCTCTTTAGCCATAACTCAAGTTCTAGACAGATGACACCACTAGACTGGAAAGCTACGATCTGTTTATTAACACTACAAAGAAAGCTTCCAAAATGAAAATCATGCTGTCCACTTAGGGCAAGGCCTTAAGAAAAATAATATAACATAAGCCATGTGTAACAGCTCAGGTTAATTCCTTAATGTGAAAAGTGTTTGCTTTCAATAATAAATCTGAATAGTGTAGTTTTTACATTTACTTTTAAAAAATGACAAAAACAGCGAATGTAAATATTTGAGTTGTTCCATATCTTCTTCCTACCTCTTAGTCTGAAGGTCGATATTATCGAGACTCTAAAGTAGCAGATACAAAATTCAGAAAAAAGGCTACAACTATTGGAAGCTGAAATCCAGATATTGCCTCAATTTGGGTCTAATTTGACAATTAAGTCAAATACAAAAAAGTATAAAATCCACTTACAACATGAAAATGGCATCTTCAGATGCCACTTAATGCTAACAAGCAACACAGAGAAAGGTCACTGTAAAACAGAACCTGAGAACTGTACAACAAAGGATGAAAATTATCCTAAATTAATAGAGACAAAAGCAGCCATAGAGCAAGCACATAAAAAGGCTTTTTTCCTCACCATCTGGATGCACAAAGCCACCACAGCAGCATGGAAGAGAGAGAAAGGTAGAGTTGACTTTTCTAACACAACTGACTGTAACTTCTGAAAATTTTAATATACATACAGTTTTCCTATTTCAACAGAACCATATACAAAACAGCCTTCTTAGTAAGGCAGGTCATACATTTATTCATTTATGATAGAGAAACCCAGAACAAGAGTGATGGGGACAAACCAGAGCTATGCAGAGTACAATGCAAAATATCATACAAATTGCACACACCTTTCATCCTAATTAAACAATTATATTCATAAATAAAACTTGCATGGGTTTGAATAAGTAAGCACCAGCTAAAGACGTAGCCTGCAAAAATAAATCAGAAAATAAGGTGAATTAAAAGTTCACCTGGCTAAGAGTCAAAGTAGAGTTAGCATGTTCAAGGGCCTGGGTACCCAGCACCAAAAAAGAATGAAAAAAAAAAAAAAAAGAATAAAAAAGGAAAAGAAAAAAGAAGAAAAGAAAAAGAAAAGAAATTTAAATTTAACCCACTAGGCATAGTGGCAAAAGCCTACCATCCCAGTTACTTAAAAGGTTGAGGCAGGGGGATTGAAAGTTCAAGGCCTGTCCGGGATACAGGGTATGTTCAAGGCCAGCACTGGCAACTTAGTAAGACCCTGTCTCAAATGAAAATGTAAAAGTAGGGCTGGGGGCTAGGGATGTAATGCACTGGTAGAGTGTTCTCCTTGCATGAAGAGGTCCTAAATGCAATGTCCAGTGCCACAAGAAAAAAGTTAGTCTACTTGCTGAGATTTATTTAACGGCTGATTAATAATGTTTTGAAAAATATGTCAGCATCTTGACTTGCAATAAAAAAGACTGGAAGAAAATCGGTTAAAAAATCATAAAACCAAGCCAGGTGGTGGTGGCACAAACCGTTAACCTCAGCACTCAGGAGGCAGAGGCAGGCAGCTCTCTGTGAGTTCAAGGCTAGCCTGGTCTACAAAGCGAGTTCTGAGACAGCCAGGGCTCCATGGAAAGACCCTGTCTCGAAGAGCAAAAAACAAAAATGAAAACCAAGCTGCTCTTGCAAAGAACTAGGGTTCGACTTCCAGCAACCACAAGGTGATTCAGAGCTGTAACGCCAATACCAAGGGCTCTGGCAGCGTCTTCTGAACTCCTCGGGCACTAGGTACACACATGATGCACAGACATACACGCAGGCAAAATGCCCATACACATAAAATATATTAATTCACTTTCAAAAATATAAAACAATTTTGTATATACACATATAAAAATAAATTTCTATATTTTGCATAAATCAGTAATAAAAAGACAGATTAAAATTTATTTTTGTAAAACAGCATTAAAATTCATATGGACCATTAAAATGGAAGTAGAGGTTTCAGTACTCATACATACTCATGAAAGTATAACAATACACATTCTGTATCATCTAAGAGTGAGATGCCTGATACTCTTACGAAACACAAAGAATCCCACCTATAAATTCAACCTATCTTTCTACTGGCTTCACAGACCCAGAGAGTGAAGGAAGGACAAAGCCACAGGGTGGACAGCAGTATCAAGAACGTACTGTTTTACGCAACAGGAAACAATTATTTTAAAACCAGTTAAGTTAAGATGCTTTACCTATTAAAAATATACTAGGTACTCACCACTCCACTACAAGACTTGGTTCTCAGATCTATTTTGACCATGCCAAACCCTAGAAATATTCAAAAACAAAATATATACAAAATTTAACTTTCACTCCAATTTTTTCAACTTAAAAAAATAATAATAATATTTTATACATCCCATATAGTGTAACCCCAGCACTCAAGGGAGGCAGAGTCTGGCAGATCTCTGTAAGAGAGTCCAGGATAGCCAATGCTACACAGAGAAACCCTGCCTCAAAATACAAAAAAAAAAAAAAAAGGCAGATACATCCCATATGGAAAATACATGGTAGTTACATAAGAATTTGAAAAGAAACTTAATTATAACAAAAGAAGTACAATTCTAAAGGTCCTAAAAATGAATAAACTCATACTTCTAAAAAGTAAAAAAAAAGAAAAAAATGCACTATTCTAAAGACTAAAATTACTCAAAAAAAAAAAATCTATGCTGTTGTGTGGGTATGTGCACACATAATTGTATGTTTGTGTGTGTGTGTGTATGCAAGGTAAAAATATAATGAGCATTTGTAGGAGAAAAAAAAATCAATGTGTACAGCACAGAAAAATTAAAAACAAAGTTTAAAACCTAAAAAATTTTCTACTTGTAATAAAGATAATATATTGCTAAAAATATGAGATTTCCACTTTCATTAAAAATTGGTATATTAGCCAAGCAAAGTAGCACATGCTTGTAATCCCATCACTCAGTAAGGCAGAGATAAGTAGATCTCTATGAGTTTGAGGCCAGCCTGGTTTACAAAGTGAGTCTAGAATAGTCAAGCCATCCTATTTTTTTTTTTTTGTCTTGAAAAAAAAAAATAGGATAAAAAAATGGTATATTAAAAAGCATTATATGGGCTGGGAATGGTAGCACACACCCTAATCCCTGCACTCAGAGGCAAGTGGATCTCTGTGCATTTGAAGCCAGCACAGTCTACATGGCAAGTTCCAGACCAGCCAGGGCTACATAGTAAGACCCTGTCTCAAGTAAAAACAAAAAAAGATTTTACAGAGAGAGGTAAGCAGCTTAATCATAACCAGAACTGGTAAAATGAAGCATAAATATTATAGGTGGGCTCTACGCCATGTTACAGATATTAGACGTTTGTGCATGTGTACATGTATGACAACTCTCTCAGTGCTTGTGAAGGAGGCTAAGGAATGAAAGACGAGAGGCTACTAACAGCCCGTAATACTTGTGATGCAGATTAATGCTCACTTGCCCTTATTTTACTAACAAAAAGAGTATCTTACACACTTTACCAACTATTCCCCAGCCTACAAAGCAAAAATTTTAAGGAACATGCAACTAAATCCTCAGAGTTTATCACTAACTCTGACCCAACATAAAATTTACCATTGTATACTTACCATACCCTTTGTTAAAGACATCCTTGGCAGCCTTTCCTAGGTCGCAGTAAGTTGGTGTGTTACACATATCTTAAAAATAAATACAAAAGAGCAACCATTTAGTGTGTTTACTCCTAACTCTTCCACTCTTTCATCCGGAAAAGACTTTTTCTTCCTTTGTATCACTGAAGCGAATTCCCTAATGTAATCAAAATTCAAAGTTGGAATTCTGCTCCTAAAACTAGAAAATAAGAGTTTTCTAGTAAGACAAGAGTCTCAAAGGCTTTGTTAAACAAAGTTTTGTTTGTGTGTGTGTGTGTGTGTGTGTGTGTGTGTGTGTGTGTGGTAAGTGTGCATTTGTACAGGCACACACGCATGTGTCTTATTCCTCAGGGGCCAGTCACCATTATTTTGAGGCAGGGTTTTTCACTGAGCTAGCTAAGGAGCCCAAGGTCCTTCTGTTCCCACCTCCTCGAGGCTGGGATTACAGGTACACACCGTGCCTGACCTTTTCAAATGGGTTTGTGACCAAACTCAGATCCTCAGGGTTGTGTGCTTTACCAACTGAGCTATTCACCAGGCCACAATGGGAACATTTTAAGGAACTGTAAAAAAAAAAAGCAATTAAATGCTCAGGGTTGAGATGTGAGGGTGGTTCAATCTTAATACCACATCTCACAGGGAAAAAAAAAGTATACTGGTGCATGCCTGTAATCTCAGCCCAGCTGCGCAAGCAGAATAGTAACAAGTTCAAGGTCAGTCTAGGCAGCTTAGAGAAACCCTGTCTCAAAAAGGGGGTGGGGAGAAATGTTTAAAACCTTTCTGGCTTTAATATTTTGCTACTCTTGAAATTCAGTCCCTGAAATAAGACCTGATTGTTCAGGCCTGCAATCCTAGCTACACAGGAGGCTAAAGCAGGATGATCACAGGTGTAAGCTCATCCTGGACCACAGAGTAAGTTCAAGGCTGGCCTGGGAAACTTAAGTGAGACTGACTCAAAGACATGAATAAAAAATTACAAAGAACCGGGAATATCAGCAGTAGTAGAACTTTTGCCTAGCACACAGAGGCCCCCAGGTTCAATCCCCACACTACAGCCACAGCAAAGAAGCTTCACTGGGACTAGAGAGATAGCTCAACTGTTAAGAGCACTAGCTGCTCTTCCAAAGATTAGGGGTTCAAGTCACAGCATCTACATGGCATCTCATATCATCTTTAACTCCAGTTCCTGGGAGTATGATGCCCTTTTCTGGTCTCTACAGACACTGCACACGTGGAGTACAAGACATGCATGCAGGCAAAATAACCATACATATAAAATTATAAAAATTTTTTAAGTAAAAATAAATGTTAACTACTTTGAAGCTGGATGTGGTGGTGCATGCCTTCACTCTCAGCACTCAGGAAGCAGAGGGCAGTGAGTTTGAGACCGGCCTTGTCTACACAGACAGTTCCAAAATAAAAATTAAACAAGCTTAACGAGACTGAACCAGGTATCTCAACAGACTAGAGCAGGAGGACTTCAAATCCAAGGCTAGTCTGGGCTACAAGATCCTAGCTCAAAAAATCCAACAAACAAAAACACCTACTAAGGCTGGAGTGGTGGCTCAGCAGTTAGGAGCGTTGTCAGGCAGCCCATAACCACCTGTGGAGTACCTCTAGAGTATCTGACACCCTCTCCTGCCTCTGCAAGCACCTGCACACAGCTGACAAACACACAACATAATAAACAAAAATATGTTTAAAACCTATAAATGAAATGTGGTCTTCCAGAATATGGTCTTTCCCAAAGCTTTTCTTAAAATGCTATAATATTACTACTAAACAGAAAGAGAATAAAATTCATCTGTGTAAGTGTGAACTTTGAAATTAAAACCTAAACCCTGCCAGTAAGACCCTCATATTGAATTCTCAGTGAAAACATCCTCCCTAGACCTCTGTACTGCAGATTCCTTCAGCACTTTCTGCCTTCCTGTTAAAGACTCAAAAGCGAAGCCCAATCAATCACAGAACTACCTCAAATGATTCTATTAGCGGGATTTTAAGAGACCAGAAAATTCCAAAGCACCAGTCAGTTTCCAGCATTCTCACCTGGGGGCCACACACAGCCAAGGAGAGCTATGAATGTGACCCACTACCTACAAAAAAGGTAAAGTTATGAAAACACGAGATTTGGGGCTGGTGAGGTGGAATTAAGGCACTAACTGCCAAGACTCATGAACTGAGTTCTGTCCCTGAAACCCACATGGTGGAGAGAACCAATTCCCACAAGTTGTTCTCTCACCTTCACAAACAGGCAATGGCATGCACACAGCTGCCATACACATAAACACACTAATTCTCTAAGTTGAGGCTGGTAAGATGGCTCAATAAATGAAGGTACTTGCCACCAAATCTAACTACCTGATTCTGGTACCAGAACACACTTGGTGGATAAAACCATCTTCCCCAAGTCATCCTCTGACCATCACACATGGGCAGAAGCAAAAGCATGAACATGTACAAACACACACTCATGAAACATAAATAGATAATAAATAAATAAATAAATAAATAAATAAATAAATAAATAGATAAATAAATAAATAATAAATAAAACATAGGCTAGGCATGGTGACCTGTGACTTCAATCCCAACACTCAGAAGGCAGAGGTAGACACAATCCTGAAGTCTGAAATAAGTCAGGATGTTACTAGGTGAGAATGTGTATTGAAAAAACAGAACAAAGCTTTTCATTTGTTTGTAACTTGACTGCATGGTTCTTGAGCATGACCTTTATAAATAACAAAGTTTTGAACATGAATTTTGTAGATAAAGTTGAGTCACAAAATCAACAGGCTGAACACATCTGCAAGTTACAATCACTATACCTGAACTCTGAACACTTTGTAAATCATTTAAATAAATAGTCTGTATTTATATTCAGTCAAACTCTTAATCTAAATTTCTGCTAGGCTTTTGCCTATAAATAAAAAGGGTCTTAGTTTATAGCCCAGGCTGGCCTCAAATTTACTGTGCAGGCAAAGCTGGCCCCTCAATGTATGACATTCCTGCCTCAGCTTCTGGAGAGCTAGGAGTATGGTCCTTTACCACCATATTCAGCATGACTCATTTCCTAATGGGAATTCATTTAAAAAATTTGTACCTGTCAAATACACACACTATGATATAAAGAGGAAAGAGCATCAAACTTTGGGCAGAGTGCAGGGAATCTTATGAAAGAAGGGGGATATAGAAAGATCTGGAGGGGACAGGAGCTCCACAAGGAGAGCAACAGAACCAAAATATCTGGGCACAGGGGTCTTTTCTGAGACTGATACTCCAACCAAGGACCATTCATGGCGATAACCTAGAACTCCTGCACAGATGTAGCACGTGACAGCTCAGTCTCTAAGTGAGTTCCCTAGTAAGGAGAACTGTGTGTCTCTGATATGAACTCAGTGTCTGGCTCTTTGATCACCTCCCCCGGTGAGGGGAGCAGCTTTACCAAGCCTCAGACGAAGACAACACAGCCAGTCCTAATGAAACCTGATAGGCTAGGGTCAGAGGCAAGGGGAGGAGGACCTCCCCTATCAGTGGACTTGGGGAGGGGCATGGGAGGAGATGAGGGAGAGAGGGTGGGCTTGGGAAAGGATGAGGGAGGGACTACAGCTGGGATACAAAGTGAATAAACTGTAATTAATAAAAAATAAATAAATAAATTTTAAAATTAAAAAAAAGAGGAAAGAGCATACCGAAAAATCATATATATGCTCAGGGCAGAAGAGATGGCTCAATGGGCAAAGTGTCTGTCACACAAGCATGAGGAATTGAGTATGAATCCCCAGGACCCACAAAGTACTGGAGTAGGAACAGAGGAGAGAAAGGAGAAGCCTGGAAGCTCACTGGTCAGATGAGCTCTCAGTTCAGTGAGAAGATTCTTTCTCAAATAATAAAATAAAGAGCAACTGTGGAAGATACCCAACATCAAAGACTGGATTCCACATGCACACATATATGCTCACAAACATGTACCACATACACCACATAGACAAGTCCATACACACCCAAAAATTATAGAGGAAATGGGGTGGCATAAGGGTAAAAAGCACTTGAGTTCTCTCAGAGGCATCAAACAAAAGGAAAAGTTAAGAGTCAAGGCAAATGGGTGGTACTGATGTTCTACATCCATTATAATAAAATTCTGCTCTCCGTTACAGGGCTTAGAGTTCACTAATAGGGTGATTTCACAATTCCGGTAGTAATGTAGTAATGTAGTTTTTTGGTTTTTTGTCATTATTCTAGGAGGGAGGTATAGAAATATGGGTCTTACATATTCAGACAGAAGTGTTTAAAGTTTTAGGTTTTCACACCAATCAGGGAGAAATGACGCTAAAATGGTGCTAACTACAAGCTTTTAGCGGTTTGATTTACTGTTTCGCCGAATGAACACTTTGCAAAAGCCAAGTGGCTAACTGAAGTCGCTTATGGCAAAACTGTCCTTTATTCAGGCCCATGGTTCTGATGGGAAATGCACAGTGCTGGTATGATCAAGCAAAAATCGAGAAAACACAAGACTCCATGTTACTCCAGAGTAAAACTACAACCTCACAATTCTATTAGCGTGTCAAAATAGAAATGCACCATGCCCCGAGGCTGCATTACACCCAGAGAGGAAAACAAAAGGCACTAACTGGATAACAGAGCTTCTCTTTTGTTCCTTGTTTCTGCTTTTTAAGATGCACAAAGAGCATCCTCACTTGGGCCGTCAGGAGGGCAAGACGCGCGCGACAAGACACTGGACCCGGCAGAGGGGGAGGTGTGGGGGCGGGGTGGGGTGTAGGTTTGGGGTTCCAGAACTCGTCCTCGCTAGAAACCGCCCTCTTTCCAGCCTGGCCCCCGGCAGAACGCCGGTGCGCACGCCGGGCACGGCGGAAGGTCGTGGCCCAGGGCGACGACTCCCGCCCTCCCGCGGCCAGCAAGGACCGGGCAGCGGGGTCGCCTCGCCTGGCCCCAGGCCGGCGCCCATCAGGTCCTCCTCCGCGGCCTCGGCTAGTCAGGCCGCCGGCCCTCCGCCCACCCGGCCCGGGGCAGCAGCCGCCTCACCTACAACCCGAGGGTGGGCCCGTCCCGCTCCACCAAGGCAACGCTGAAGGTCTTCTTGAACCAACGCCGTCTGCGCCTGCGCGACCTCGCTCCCCGCCGCGCCTGCGCGCCGGTCGCACCAGAGCGCGAGGGCGCGCGCTGCCGCGCCTCGGAGCCGGCGCGCAGCGGTCCGCCAACTGTCCGGCTCAGCGTGCGCGTGCGCAGGCGGCCCCGGCCGGCGGGTGACCGGCAGGGGTTAAGGAAGTGCGCGGACGGCCTTGAGAACCTTAGCGCTGCCCGGAGGCGCGGGTTCTCGCGAGAACGAGCCGAAGCCGTGACTCCTGTTGCCTGGAAGGGGCGCGGGCAGCGCGCCAGCCGGGGAGCGGAGGGGTCTCTGCGGACGTGTGCTGCAAGCGGCAATGTCGCTCCCACACCCTGCTGTCCTCTGGTGGATGACTTGCAGATCTTTATGGGAGCGTCATCCCAGGTCAGCTGTAAATTTTAAAGCGTGGTGTCTTCTCAGTTGTAAGGATGAGAAAAAACATAGGACCCCAGGGAATAGGCGACCTTGGCGTGGGGTCGATTCTAGAGCAATGCACGTTAATTCAAAGAGAGGGGATGGGGCAAAGAGCTCTTCTTAGAAGAGAAGGACCCAGATCAACGTAGGGGAAATTATGCAAGTAGAAAACCACCACTTGAGAGCCACCAAGGTGCCCTAACACTAAGGTAACCTATCCACTAAGGTATCCTAACAACGGATACCGTAGAAAATGGTTAAGGATATTTCTCTGGTTTCCAAGAGTCACTCCACGGATTACTTACTGAAGCGGAAGGGACCTTCCCAGCAACAAAATTGCCTTAACCAAGTGATTAAAGCTAACATCGCGTGCCCTGTGGTGCACAGAAAAGGACATAGGACAATATTCTTGACAAAGCATTATCTTGCCTTCCCCTATTAATAAGGAATCAAATCCAAATTAAGGGACTTTCTGCAAACCGAATGCTCAGTCTCTTCAAAAAGATCAGTGTCATGGAAGATGAAGAAAAGGCAGGCAGACTGTTGTAGATTTAAGAAGAAAAAAGAAAGATTTAACGCTGAATGTTGTAAAACTCCTGTTGAGAAACACAAAGCAATTGAGAGTACACTTCATTGCACTGCCGCAGTGTAAAATCGGAGGGTAATGTGCCCTGGTTATGTAGAAGTGGCCTTTGTTGGAGATATTTATTGATGTGTAGAAGTGTGTGTGCCACTAACTTTTTTATTGAAAATAATTTTCTCATAAAATATACTCTGATCACAGTTTCTCCAGTCCCAGATCCTCCTAGATTCCCCCAGCCTTCCCAACCACCCGGCACCATGCCTTCTTTACCTCTCTAGAAAAACAAATAGGGGCTGGAGAGATGGCTCAGAGATTAAGAGCACTAACTGTTCTTCCAATAGGCCCAGAGTTCAATTCCCAGCAACCACATGGTGGCTCATAATGACCTGCAATGAGATCTGTTGCCCTCTTCTGGCAGGCAGAGTACTGTATGAATAATAAATAAATAAATAAATTTTTTTAAATAGTCAAAAAAAGAAAACAAATAGTCAAACCAGAATTTTAAAAAAAGAAAAGTAACAAAGAAGAAGTACAAGAAACAGAGAAGACCAATAAATACATAAAAACCAAAACCATAAACAAAAAACAAGACAAAGGGGGAAAAAAGCCCCTACTCAGTGATAGGAGACAAAAAGTCCACAGAAATACTACTGGGAGACATAGCTCAGAGGTTAAGAGCACTGGTTGCTCCTCCAAAGGTCCTGAGTCAGTTCCCAGCAACCACATGATAGCTCACAACCATCTATAATGAGATCTGGTGCCCTCTTCTGGAGTGCAGGTGTACATGCAGACACAACACTGCATACATAATAAATAAATCTTAAAAAACAAATATGAAAAGGTGACTCTAGGTGGAAGATAATGTATGTGTTAGTTAACTATTCCTCAGATGTTCCAGTAAGTTCTTGACATTCAGTAGAAAGTTAGGGAGGTGTCTTGGTCACTGTAATATTGCTGTGAAGAGACACCATGACCAATGCAATTCTTATAAAAGAAAGCATTTAATTGGTGGCCTGCTTACAGTTTCACATTTTAGTGCATTACTACCAGAGAGCAAGGCGGCAGGCATGGCAGATGCTAGAGAAGTAGCTGAGAGCTACATCCTGATCCACAGGCAGAGAGATTGAGCCCTGGCCTGTCTTGGGTTTTTGAAACCTCCAAGCCTACTCCCAGGGACACACTTCCTTCAACAGGGCCTCACCTACTCCAATAAAGCCACATCTCCTAATCCTTCTAATCCTTTCAAACAGTGCCACTCCCTGACTAAGCATTCAAATATATAAGCCTGTGGGGTCTATTTTTATTCAAACCACCACGGGAGAAAAAAAAATACATAAAACTGTGGTGACCAGTACACAATAAGGAACATATCTTTATTTGTCTGCTGTTTGTGAGACATTTCAAGTAAATAAGAAGTAAAAATGATAAACTCCCCTGAGGGACTTTTAGAGCTTAGAGAGATAGGTGCTGAAGGGTACGTGTTACAATAAATGTCATAAGCAATGCAGAATAATCAATAACCTAAATAAAATGAGCTTTGGAGTCCAAAGAGACTGGCTCCGTTTCTCAGCTCTGCCAGTTTTGTAGTATGAGACAACCTCTTAGGGCTCAGTTTTCATATCTGTGAAAACTCAATAGTATCTACCTCAGAGTACTATAATGGCTATTAACTAATGTATTCAAAGCACTCAGCAGTTGCACATATTCATTCATAAAAGCTAATATGCTGGATTGCAGAGTGGTTAGCAGTGACTGCTCTTCCAGAAGACTTGAGTTCAATTCCCAGCATCCACATCACTGCTTGCAATTATCTGTAACTCCAGTCCAGAGGATTTGACACCTCTTCTGGCCTCTGTAGGCACCAGGCACACATACAGACGTGCATACAGATAAAACCCCCATATATATTAAATGAATAAATTTCTTGAAAAAGGCAGTGTACAGCAGGAGTTTAAGAGACACAAGTAGAGTCCGTATTTGTTTATGTGTATTTGTTTCATCTTGCGCCTTGGCTGTTCCTAATCTTTGTTCAGTGTGACAGGCCATGGAAGAGCACCGTGAATGAGAATGTGACATTTCTTCTTTGTCCTCTGTTTCCAGTAGTCTTTTGAAAGCACCTGATAACTACACCAGTCCCACATCCAGACAGCTGCTCTCTCCCAACACCCAAAGCAAGAAGGCAGAAGAGCTGTTCAGCGCAGTCACTGTAAGAATAGTGTTCTCTTTGCTGCCTGTCCTTCTGGCCCCATTACTGGACCAAGATTAACACTTCCTATCTCTATCAAGCTCTGACCTTCACGGTCCTAGAACTGCAACTCTTCCTCCCTCCTCACCACACTGAGATCTAAACTCTTAGGAAATGTAAAGAAGACTTTAGCAGTACAGATACTGGAAACATGGCATGGCAGGCTGATAAAATAATAAAACTGTATCGGTTTTGAGCTGGAAAAGAACTGGGGAGGTTTGAATGAGAAATGCCCCCATAGTCTTTGTCCCCAGTCAGGGCACTGTTTGGGGAGGTTTGGATGAAACAGCCTTGCCAGAGGATGTACAGCCCTAGCTTTGACGTTGAAAACCCTCACCTACTTCCAGTTTGCTCTCTCTGCTTCACTCGTGGCTGAGGATGTGAATTTTCCACTTCATGCTCTGGTCACCATGACTGGCTTGCTGCTGTGCCTCCTCTCTGCCACCATGAACTCTCATTTATCCCTCCAGAGCCATAAGCCAAAATAAATTTCTAAGTTATCTTTAGTCATGTGGGGGGGGTTGTTTGTTTGTTTGTTTGTTTTGTCTTAGGTATTTATTTCTTTTTTGAAGAAAAAAAAATTACTGTGGAGTCCTGGTTAGAATGGAGCTTATATAAACCACAGTGACCTTGGACTTACAGATATCCACCTGCCTATGTGGGGATGGAAGGGGTGCACCACCACATCTGGCTTAGTAATGCTGTTTTCTCAGAGCAACAGAAAAGTAACTGATAAAGGCTCTGTCCTTTGAGAGAGTTTTTCTAAGTGTGTCCTGTGTCTGGGCAGTCAGGGATGACAGATAAGGAAGCAACCTGATAATAGTTATATGGATCAGGAGCCACATGAAAATGGTCTCAGGGCACAGGGCACAGGCCAACTGCTCAGACTAAGACAACCCACTAGTCTGCCTGTTTTGTTTCTCTCTTTTCAAGAGAAAAATCTCAGAAATTTAGCATAGTTTCAGCTAGATTTTAGAACTTCAAAGGCAGCTGTGAGAGTAGGCACTCTGCTGTGACTGTGTAGTAGCTCACTGACCCAAAGCTGAAGCTCACAGAGGTACTTAGATCTTTTTCTGTCTAAATTTCTTTTTTTTTAATTTTCTTTGTTGAGTCAGAATCCTCTCTGCAAACCTAGGCCAGCCTGACACTCACTGTGTAGCCCGTGGTTATCACGTACCTTAAACATGGAATCATCCTGCCTTAGCGTCCCAAGTGCTGGGGTTGCAGGTGCTTGCCACCAGCCCAGGTTTAATTCTGCCTCTTTAAATAAAAGGACCCGCTGGCTTGTGAAACTCTCAAATTCTGATGAGGAATGAGGATGCCCTACTTACTGAGCAGCTGATGGCGTGTATAAGATGGCCATAGAACACAGGGACACAGTGGTGACAGTATCTAATAAGCCTGGTCCGGGTGGAAGATTTCCCAGGTGGTTTGTAGGTGGACATGAAGGGAATGGCTTCCAGAGAATGGAGTGTGACCAAGGATTGGTTCTCTTATTCCCAAACTCAATACCAAAGGACTCATCTCAAGAAATGGTCATGGGGCTGGAGAGATGCCTCTGTGGTTATGAGCACTGGCTGCCCTTTCAGAGGACCCAGGTTGAATTCTCAGGACCCACATCGTGACTCTTCTGTCTCCACAGGCACTGCATACATGTAATACACAGACGTATATGGATGTACAACACTCATAAATTAAATTTTTTTTAAATCATAAATTTGTGGAAAAATTTATCTTGAATGACTTAAGGTAGAAGAAAATGTTAAGACAGAATTGAAGATGTAATCCAGTTGGTAGTGTACTTGTCTACAATTAAAAAAAAAAAAGCCCTATG